TGAGCATTTAAAATGGATTGCTCAAATACATTTAATGAGAAGGGGGATCAAGAGATTGCCCCTTTCTTTTGCGTTTAGGCGCCATGGCGACAGAAGAAAGTTTCTCCAAATCGACTTCCAAGCAGATTACTATAAGAACCCAAAGGATTCAAATCAATATCCAAGCAGGATTATCGCGCGTAGGGCCAAACTCCTATTGAAAAGAAATAAGAATCGAACAAGGTAGAACATTTGCAGGTGTTCAAACGGTTCCAAATTGGGTCCTGATTTGCCTCCCATAAGTTGAACTAATTCATTACGAAACTGGCTTGGCACAAACCATTTGAAGTTTATATGGAAATTACTATTGGAAAACCAAATGTTTTGTTCATATCTATCTTAAAATTCACCAGCTCACTCTGTTTTTAAAAGTGATAGCTGTAGAATAGAGCACAAAAATCATGGATACTATGTCACACGGCAAAATACAGTGTTGCCCACAAAACAGCTGCATGATCATGCCATAAGATTATCAATCTCTTAAACAATTAATAACTATTTAATTTGACGTCTGGCTGAAAAATGATGATTTGATGATTAATGGGCTACTAAAATTTATGTTGCATTCGTCAAAAAAGTGTCTTTTAATTTACCAGCTTAACCCTCCGTTACTCGCATGAGTTTTCCTTTGCCATTTTGTTGCTGAGCTACCAATCGATCTGAAACCAACGAGTATTCCTCAAAAAACTTGTTTTGATCTGATCAAGCTAAACTTTGATTACAGTAAACACCTAAAAATTGCGGATAATAGGGAAAATGTAAATGGAAACCGCGTAAACTGTGACCATACTACGTGGGATTTGACTTAATTGATTAAAACATGGAATATATCGAGATCCTGACCAGATAGAAAGTTGCTGTCTACGACAAAGTTGTTCAGGAGATCATAGCCTTGTTGTTGGTGGATGGAAGTTCAGTATTTTCTCACTACGTAGCGCTAGTATACATGTGAAATTCTTGCATGTGATATATCTCGAGATCCTGACCAGATAGAAAGTTATTGTCTTCCACAAAGTTTTTCAGGAGGTCAAAGCCTATTGCTTGGTGCTCAATAGTTCAGAATTTGTTCACTACGCGACGCTAGTATACACGTGAAATTCTCATATAAAATATCTCGAGTTCCCGACCAGATAGAAAGGTACTGTCTTCGGCATAGTTGTTCAGGAGGTCAAGTTCTTTTCGCAGGTGGATAGTTGTTCAGAGTTATTATTATTATTATTATTATTTAGCTTTATTAAGGACGTGTTGTTCAGAGTTTTCTCACTTCGCAGCGCTACTATACATGTGAAATTCTCGCATATAAAATATATAAAGTAAATATCCGGCAAAGTTTTTCAGGAAGTCAGGATCTTTTTGTTGGGTGACAATAGTTCAGAATTTTCTCACTATGCGGCGCTAGTATATACGTGCCTTTCACGCATATTCAGCTCGAGATCTTGATCAGCTAGAAAGTTGCTGTCTTCGGCAAAGTTGTTTAGGGGGTCAAGACTTTTTGGCTGGTGGCAAGTTTTTCGCTGAGATCCAGCAAAATAAAATACCGAGCTGCTCGGTGGTGCCCATCTTGGTAAAACATTCTAAGGGTGTAGGTACACCCAAAGTCATAAACAAAAGGCCTGATAATATGAAATTATCATCTCTTTCATTATACCGCTATTCCTACGCTGCTAGGAGTGTAACGTCGAATTTATGGTTATATACACCTTATCCTAAATCTAAACGAGAAGAATCTACACAGTTCGTCTAAAATGTGTGATACAATGTATAAAATATATATACACGAGTTAGCCAGTCGAGCCATAGGACTATCTCAGTCATGAGATTGCTTTACTCAGTTGTCTGGAGAAATTTCCAAAAGCGTAGTTCCTCAGCGCTGAGTAACCTACACTCCTATCATAAGCTTAAATACACCCCAAAATACATGCAAATGTGTTTTGTTCAAAGAATAAGGGTTCTACTACTACTTTTAATTCAAATATATATTTTTCAACTCAATTCTGAGAAAATCAATCATGATTCTTCAGAGAACATTTCGAAAAATAGTGTAACTTTGGGTGAACCTTTGGTATACAAAATTTGAAAATTATATTCAGCAATTTGCCTCTTCGTATTTCCATTCAAAATCTTTCAAATGTTCTAAAAAGAACGTATATTGGACGTAAAATGACAAAGATATGAACATAACACATTTGCATGTTTTTTGGGGGTGTCCTTAAACTTATAATCGGGGGTGTACGGTTTTATAAATTTCTCCATTCAACTGAGCAAAAGTGCCTCACTCTCTGAGTAAGTCTCGTTGTCCGTGCACACGTAAATACAGGGACTTTTTTTTGTTCTAGACCCCTCGATAAGACATTTTGAAATTAGCCTAAAATGAAAGGGAGACTCTAAACATTAATTTTGTGGAAGTTTCAGCGATATTGATCTTTAAGATAATGTTTTCCATCTGAGATACGTGTTACCACTAATTTATCAGAGGTATACAAGTGGAACGACTCACCCCAAGAATATATTTGTCTTATCCCACTAAGGCTGATGTAAATTGTATTTTTATTTTATGATATTTGATATGCGAGAATTGTCCGCCAAATTTTGAGAAATTTCTGAACTACTTTTCATCAGCCAAAAGATCTTTATCTCATAAACAGCTTTGCTAAGAACAGTAAATTTCCAGCTGTTCAGGATGGCGCCGCGTAGTGAGAAAATTCTGTACTGTCGATCAATTAAAAAGTTTTGATCTCCTGGACAACTTTGCCGATGACAGTTTAGCAGGTCTCAAAATGTATCTAATGCGAGAATTGCACGTGTATACAAGCGCAATGATGTGAAAAAAATGATATTCTGTCCACCAGCCAAAAGGCCTTGGCCCCCTGAACAACTTTGCCCAGGACAGTAACATTCTATTTGGTCAGGACCTCGTGATATTTCATATGTAAAAATTTCACGTGTATACTAGCGCCGCTTAGGAAATTCTCAACTATTGTACACCAAGCAATAGGCTTTGACCTCCTGAACAACATTGTCGAAGACAGTAACTTTCTATCTGGTCAGGATCTCGAGATATTAAATTAGAGAATTTCACGTGTGTACTAGCGCCGCGTAGTGAGAAAGTTCTGAACTAATGTCCACCAGCTAAAAAGTCTTGACCCCCTGAACAAGTTTGCCGAAGACAGTAACTTTCTATCTGCTCAGGATCTGGAACTATTGTATATGCGAAAATTGCACGTTTATACTAGCGCCACGTAGTGAGAATTTTTGGAACTACTCTCCACCAGCGAAAAGGTTATGATCTCTAGAACAACTGTGCCGAAGACAGTAACTTTCTATCTGGTCAGGATCTCGAGATTTTCTATGTTGTATCCAATTAAGTCGAATCCCACATAGTACGGACACTGTTTACGCGGTTTCCATTCACATTTGCTCTATTACCCGCATTTTTTGGGGGTTAACTGTGATAAAAGTTTAGCTTGTTTAGTTAAAAACAAGTTTTTGAAGGAATACCCGTTTGTTTCATATCGATTGGTAGTTCGGCTGCAAAATGGCAATGGAAAACTCACACTGTTGTACAAAGTACAACGCGCGAGTACTCGTGTTACAAAAGTTGGCGGGAGTAACGGAGGGTTAAAAGATGTGATCAAGCCACTTAAAAGGGACCACATTCCAGCGCTGCTATTATCATCATATAAATCGCTCCACCCTACCGTGGGAGTTCATATCACCTGGAATTAAAAATGGGGATTGCAGAAACGAAACAAGATTCCAGAGTTGACTACGGATTGAAGTTCTTGGAGGAACGTTACTGAAGCAATGCAAAGATCTTTGTAATAGTACATCGCACTTTTTGTTTCTAAAAAGTACTATTCCTCCTACATGTAATGTATCACAATCAGTGTTACAGCGAGGCAATTAATTTAAAACCAAAATCATAAGATAACCATATAGTTGCATCTCGTTTGCATGGCCTTAGCTAACGTCGATACCAAGGCCAAGAAAATGAAATGAAAAGTAGGGCAAAAGGAACGAGAGCTCGTTTTACATAATCTTACTGCAGTATTTACTTAGGAATGTTAATGCGTTCAAGTAGGATAAACACGCCCACGCATGGCATATCTGCAAATCTAGGTTAAGTTTAGCATTCACTCTCTGTTTATCCTTAACGAAGGATATAGTTATAATGTTTAAACGTTACAAATGCTCACATTCTTACTTGTAGAGCCATATTAGATCTGAGTTACAAAAAAAAACAAGATTACCGAGAAATCCCAGATCTGAGAGGGCATAGTATATAAGGTTTAAACAACACAAATTTACCATTTCAAGGGCGATTGGAATCCTAGCTAATAGAATAGGCATTATTAGGCAAAATTCCTGTATTGAAAGGGATATGTAAAACCCTGAACGAATAATTTGGTAAGAGATGAACTAGCCGTATGGCTAAAAATCTCGATAATAAAGACAAAAAAAAAAACCTGGACGAATAAAGTAAAAGTTTTACATAATTATAAGTTTCCAATGCAACACATAGACGTTAAATCACTTTTTACAAATTTCGGGATATAATTAAGTTTCGTAGGTTACTCCAGATTCTTCTCTTTTTGAATCCGAAAGAACTTTCGGCCTAGAAGTGAAAACTTATCTCCTTAATTTAGATAGTAGCTCCTAGAATAAAAAAAAAGTGTTTGACCGAGTAAGCAAAAGACTTTCCCTAATCGGAGAAGAAAGTAGCTTTTGGCCGCGACAATCAGAGTTGTGAAGTACATATTTGAACCAGTCTAGTTTAAGCACTAGACTACGCCAGTTCCACTGAAGCACAGCCATCACATCTTCGACCCCGTTCGAAGAATTATCCATCGAAAGATACAATTGATGCAAGGAGGGGCTATGAAACAGTCAATTGCTTGAGATATGATTCCACAGTTGAAAACAAGTCAGCAAGGATTTCGAAGATATCTTCCGTTCCATTTACGGGTATAGCTATTTATTGATGATACAGTTATAAAACGGGTTAACGCCAAACACCTTGGTAGTTGAACAAATACCGCGCTGTTTCGCCACTTCATAATGCTTCTACGTTATGAAACACCTATTACAAGTATGTACTCACATTAATATGTCTAAACCTATGCAATTCACTTATCGCGCGGTTTAATAGTTACTCTTCCATCCGTGTTCCTTGGTTTTGTGCTTATGGAATGAACTGGGATCAACAAATCTCCGGCTGCAGTACTCACATTGGTATGGTTTTTCTCCGGTGTGCAACCGCAAATGCACCTTGAGCGTTGGTTTCCGTTTGAAACTGAAATTAGAGCGAGTTTTAGGGACAAAACCCTTTATGAATGATATTCTACTGTAGTCTGTAGTACCTCTTATGGCAGTATTCGCAAGCGAATTGCTTGGCATCACTATGAACCACTTGCATATGACGATCGTAAGTGCTTTTGTAGGTGAAGTTCTGAAATTACTTATTTCGTATAAATCAAAGACAAAAACGAGAACAGCGCAAGCTCACCTTATTACAGTCTTTACAATGATACTCGGTGATTCCCCGGTGGAGATTCTCGTGATCTTTCAGTCCCAGTTTTTTGTTGAAAACCCGCCCACAGAACGAGCAGAAAAACTGCGGCTGCTTACCCTGGTGGGTATTGTAGTCGTGCTTGAGCAGTTTTGCCTCGGAGGTGAACTTTCGCTCACATTTTGTACATTGATGGAATTCCACCCCGGAGTCGGCATGTTCGGCTTCGATGTGAGCCAATAGCTCTTTGTTGAATCTAAACTCTCGGGAACAGATGGTGCATTCGTTTCGTTCGGTCACAGGAGCCTTTCGCTGTTTGCCAAAGGCGTCTTTTTTGTGCGAGAGTCGATGAAGTCTGGCCGCCATAAGCATGGTAAATTTTTTAGGGCAAATGTCGCAACTGAAGAGCTGCAGCTGGCAGTTCTCGTGTTCTCTTTCGAAATGATAGGCCAGACGGTGGTTCTTGCCTAAGTCCTCATTGCACATTCCGCAAATCTGCGGAATGAACCGTGTCTGATGCCGACGGGCGCCAACCATTGTGGTAACCACGCGCATTCGTTTGTATTTGCTAGATTTGCAATCATGATCCTTAAGATTCTGAACGAACTGAAAGTGGTTCAGACAGTGTGAGCATTGGTATCCTATGCAGGATTTGTAGTGCGTATCTAATTCAGTCTCCGAGCCGAACAACTCTTCGCAAAACAGACAACCGTAAGGGAACTCGTGCGACTGATAGTGGTAATTGATGGCCATCATATCTTCGAATCCTACCAGGCATCGGTCGCAGTAATATGGCGACAAAGAGCTGTGCTGATCCTGTAAATGCGCACCCAGTGCACGCTCAGTTCCATTGAACCCCTTGCACACGTAGCAAGTTAGAAGCTTTGATGTGGAAGGTTTTTCTTCATCACTGGAGTAATCTGGATCCGGAAATGATACATCCGCATCATCGTGATCATCGCCTGCCTCATCTTCGCTATCGCTGTAACCTGGTTTGATGATAACCAGGTCGCTATTATCTGCTTCTGGACTCTGTTCGATCTGAGCAATGGAAACAATTTCGGTGATTTCGATTTCTGTTTCCAGTTTTTCCTCTACGATGGGCTCCAGAGGCATAACAGTAACGATCTTGATGGTATCCTTGTCTTCTTCGATCAGTGGCATCCCTTGTGAAGATCGCATTTGACTGCAACAAATAATATCGTCATTAATATTATAAGAAACCAATTAATCGAAATACTTACTCTAAGAAGGAACAAAACAGCTTATCAGCTTGCCGGAACTCATTGGAAATGTTGAACATAAGTTTAGCCTTCATTTCGCAACCATTGCAAATGTTTGTATATTCTTCCGAGCTGGAAATCTGCAAAACATAACATTATTTTTGAATGAAGGTGAACTGACTGCAGATCGAATCAATAATAAATCAAACAGCACATACCTGAATGCCCAGAGTGTCCTGAAGGAGCTCGGTGATTTCTGCAAGGCTGAGACGCTCATAGATCGGGCATGTTGGTTCGCTGACCGACAGGCACAACCGGCACGATTCTGGCACAATGTCCATCGATGATGAAAATATTTTGCTCGGAGGTAAGAAATTTATTTGAGGATTCTTTTGGTTGTTCTGGTTTTAAGTGCTGATATGAGCGTCGAATTCGATTGTTCGACCTGCAGTTGCAGTTACTGGCTGTCTGGATGCATTATTTTGACAGATTTTGATCCTTCATTCTGTGCCCATGAAGCAATTCGCGACTGCATGCACTGACGTTTGCTTTTGCGATTAAATTGCGAATTCTCGCGTTACTTTTCAAATAGACCAATATAACAAATGTAAACAAATCGAGTTAAGCGATACAAACTATTGCTCTTCTATCATTGTATGTGATACAAAAACACCCATCCAAATTTAATTTCATTTATTTAAGAAAATCTTAGCTCAAAAATTGTCCAATGTAAAGTTTGAAATGATGGGTACATGATTATTACTTCGGTCATCCGGACTGTCTAACATCAAATATATCATATTAACAATATGATCCATTCATGCCTTTTCCAAATATGGCAATGCCGACCCGCAAAATATTGCTTCACGCACCATCTAGCGTTGAAAAAGGTCAGCAACAATCATTCAATTACAATCGAGGGGTGCGAATATAGCACTTATTACAAAAGTAAGATCACATTATTTTCATTAATTACATTGTGTTGATTACTTTAAAATTTGTCTGACATGTCACTGTTGTCATCAAATAAAATAATATGCTGAAATACATTTATTTGAAATATTAAACAAATTTTCAGTTGGTTTACCCCTCGTGACGATAAACAAATACATTGGTAGCCTTTTTGGCCACAGAGGTGCTTTCATCGCTAAAAAATTGGTTCGCCAGCTAAGCGAAAGAGTGGATCATATTGTTAATACAATATATTTGCTAACATGATAGGTTCTCGTTTTCTAAAGGCGGGGCCAATCTAAAGTTATGCATTCTACTATGAAATCTGTGAAAGGGAATCTAGTATCATGTAGATCAAAACGTCGAATGTAACACTCATTGATTATATCAGTGAGAAAAATCGTCCAATGTAACATGTCCGATGTACAACGCGGTTTGTCAAAACGTCCTATGTGGTTTTTTTTTTAATTTTGTAGCATGAAATTCAAAGTTAAATTGTGATTTTATCGTTCCTACTGAATTTTCAACGTTATTATTCACTTACTCAATTAAAAATAGTATTTCTAAATGTATTGTTTCTTAACAGTTTAAATAATAGTATTGCTAAATGTATTGTTTCTTAACAGTTTAAATAATACGCCTTTTTAATAGAAACTTAGCGATCAATTCAACCTCTGGCGATGAATAGGAGAACGTCGAAAAGAGTGTTGTGAGCAGAATTTGTTTTCATGAGACATAGGAAGTGGAACACTTTTTAACTTTCCTTTATAAATAAACTCATCCGGGATGCTCCAAAATTTGATCTAGAGTCGAAAAATTTAATTGTGTATCGTTTTTGCAAGTTGCTGGTGTTCAGGAATATTTTTGTCGAGAAAAATGTAAAATTAGAATAGTGCCTTTGTGGTTATGATCTTCCGGATTTCTAGTGTGTGAATAGTTGAAGTACAAATCAGTTCAGATCGGTGTAAAATCGTAAGTAAGACAATTACCGATGGAAATTGGCAAGATGTTCAATGACAAATGCTTTAATTTGCGTTGTGAAAAATCCTCATTTTGTTGTAAACAAACGGTTTGGTTGACGTTTCCTCTTGAACTCGTCTGACGCCATCTAATTGGCGGGTCATTGAAAAAGCCTATAATCTGTCGAACTTCAAATTCGATTTTCTCAAAATGGTGGATATGTTACATTGCACGGATAGAAATCTCCTTATACCTTTTGGCAAATTTTTATTGCTGATTATTCATAAAATGTATAAGTCAACTAATAAGCAGACGCCTTGCAAAAAGTTAATGAAGCTCATGTGTCAAATGAAATGTATAAGCGGTCACACATACCTTTTATGCATTCTTGTAGGACCTATGTGGTTTGTCTTATGGAATGTATAAGGCTGATGCTTTGGCAAAAATGTATAAGTGAAACAGATGAATAAAATAATTGATTTTCGTTTCGTGTGGTCTATTTGAAAAGTGACGCGAGAATTGTCTTTCTCTATCTAGCAAACATAGAGACTGCTGACGTTTATCATACGCAAACTACGTCACGTATACGTATACGATAAATGTTTTCATCGGGAAAAAACTTCATAGAGCTTTTTGACGTTTAATCTCAGTTTGACCGATCTGGGTGGATTCTACCCAAATTTGGGGAGTTTTGAAATAGCGTGTATATAGATAAAACATCGAAAAATAAAAGGTTCCTGCAAGGTGGGAGCACGGTTTTCGCAGTTTGTTGTGATTGTTTATCCGTCCCCTTGTTTTGTTTTGCTGCCCACTTTATGATCCTTCGATATTAGAGACGGCAATTTATTGCAATAATAGTTTGATAAAAAATAGGCATCTACCTAGTAATAAACATTAATAATTGTTGATGTAATTTGTTGTTAGTGCTATCAAGTGTTGCAAAAGTGGAATAACAATCCCGTTTTAACATAAATAATGGTAAGTAAAATACAATTTTTAATTTCGGTTTGGTGGCATACCGGTACCTATATGGTACAAAGCCTTTATTTGGGAGATTTTTTTAAAATATTTTTGGTGGTAAGCACCAACCGGTATTATTCTAGGACTACATCCGTATCACGAATGACCGGCTGTTTTATTGTCGACGTCGATGTTAATCATTACGACGATCTTTAATAAACATTTGACAGATTCTCCCATCAAGGATGGTACCGTGACCGCGCCTTATTCTGCGAGGTTCCTAGTTCTGCGCATTTTATCGTAGTGAGTAAATTCTCAACTAAACTTTTCATTACTGAACGGCTCTCGCCCATTTGAACAACTTTGCTGAAGACAGGATCTTCATGATCAGAGTTGTTACTATAGTATATATATTTATTAGCTTTATTTGTACTCAAATCGGGCATACATTTCGAACACTGAAATACCCCTCAAATCGCGATTAAGGCCACATTTACGGAGATTAATTTAAAGATTTGGAAAATCCAAATAATGATGGTCAGATTTGTGTAAAACGAGTACCAAAATGTCGAACACCTAAACACCTCTCAAATCGCGCTCAAGGCCATATTTAGGGAGATACATGAGTTTAAAGATTGGGAAAACGGGAGGGTTGCAAATCTTCCTGATTTGTTGTCTTCGATTTTAAGATCCTCATATAAAATTCACACCTAAAGTGCCGACAAAACTACCTGAAACTGGGGTTTGGCCCGTGGAAAATTTGAAATTTTATATTTGTAGGCCAGTCTAGTGTAGTAATACAGGTTTGCACTCTTTAGCTATTAATTCCAAATATTCTCATTCTTACAAAATTTTCTCTGATTACCTATACGAAAAAAAAAACGAAACAACTTCTTGGATATGTTCTTGATGTGATGTGTTATTCAATATGTTTATATGCTGAAGCAAGGTCATGAACGTTTCTTTCATAAATTATAATGCCATTCTACTCAGCCAGATGTAATTTTTCAATGTTCTTTGCGCTTACCATAGTTTTATTTGCTTTCGTTAATAATGAAACTGGAACATGCACTGACAAACTGATTCAATTATCATTGCAACAAAATAGACTAAAAACTCCTAGACCTTGTCCCGCTTTCAAATGTGGGGCTCACCCTGCCGCATCCGAGAGGAGAATCAAGACCTTCATAGGGGTGATTTAAAGTTAAATCTCGTCCTGTTGATTGCGTTTACCACCCCAAGCGTGGAATGGGTTTCGTATGACGACCTTGGGCTGTAGGTGTACCCGACCTGTGTTTCGTTTTCCTCCCCAAGGATAGAACACATTGGCGTTGTTCCGTTTGCCACCCCAAGAAAAGAACTTTTGCTTCGAGACGTATTTGGAGTTACGCTTTTGGGCCACTGTTGAAGAGTACCGTGGGTCACATGTTACCTCCAGGTTATCTTGTATCATTACGTCTAACGTTGGATCACCCAATTGGTTTGATAGGCAGATGTAGAAGTCCTTAGCACTTTTAGTGCACGTTGAGTTGACGGGACGGTTGAATCCTGGTGGCGGTTGATGATCAACGCCTGGGATTTGTTCTTGATGGATTCGTGTACTTGATGAACCTGAAAAGAGATGAAGGATTGTAGGAGCGGCTGTTAATTTGAGTGAAAGGTGAAGAGAAAAAATCATTTATGTAACTACGGGGGGATTTATGTAGTCCCTTCTAGAATTGTTACTGCAATGACTTATTTTACTTACACATCAAAATTGTTCGCTAATTGCCTAATAATTATTGAGAAGTTTGAAAAATACATTTAGCACCCCCTAGGATTGTCCCTTAGTTACACCAATGAAAATTGAGTATAGAAATAGTCTCTCGGGATCTCAAGATGGAAAATTATTAAAGACCTTGGAATTTGAAGAGAAAAAATGAGGGTCTAACTTCGTGTGGAAAATATCCCGAAATTTCGTGGATGGGCGGTTTTGTCGTCCAAAGGGAAAAGGAAAAACGATTAATAGAATCGGTTGACGTACAATGGACAAATTTGCTCCCTTTCACTTATAGCGAATTCGTTTATTATCGGGGTTGGAACCAGTTCCAACCCAGTGCGAAACCGAACTTTTTGTCAGCGCGAACCTCAACCTGAGCTAGGTTTTAAAAACAAACGAGCAAACTGACGTTTGTCAGAAAACAAGCAGACCCAATCTTGATACCCGATCCAGGTTGGAACTGAATAATAAACGAATTCGCTATTACTCACGTGAAACCGCACTATCAAAAATAGTAAAGCTGTCCTGTCATAGCGAGTTGGTGACCATTCAAGCTGAACATTGCATTAGGTCCTAAATAACATTGATCGATTCTATTCGTCGACTTTCTCTTCCGTTAATAACTTGAGCACATAACCGTTTCTTGTTGTGTTTGTCGTATTAGATGCTAGCTTGTTTTATATGTAGATATGTGTGCTGAAAATACCTGGAAATGTCTTTAAATGGCCGTGCGGATACAAAGAGAAAGTCGACGAAGAGAATCTATCAATATTACGTAGGACCTAATGCAATGTTCAGCTTGCACTGTTATCTAAACGGGACATCACGAGAAATCTCGATGAACATTTCAAATGGTCCTATCTGCTTTGATCGATTCTCTTCATCGACTTTCTCTTTTCATAACCACTGCTATGCAAACAGATTTCGCGCTAATTCTACCTCATAGTTTGATAAAGGAGGTTCTTATCTAGCGTCCAAAACGTCAAATACAACAGGGAAAGGTTTTGCAGCTGAGTTATTGACGAAAGAGAAAGTCGATGAAGAGAATCGATCAAAGCAGATAGGACCATTTGAAATGTTCATCGAGAAATCTTTTCAAGCTAAACATCGCATTAGGTCCTAAGTAACATAGACAGATTCTCTTCGTCGACTTTCTCGTTGTATTCCCACGGCCATGTAAAGACATTCACAGGTATTTTCAGCACTCAGATCGATAAAAGAAGCTTTCATCTAGCATCTAATAAGACAAACACAACAAGAAACGGTTATGTGCTCAAGTTATGAATGAAAGAGAAAGTCGACGAAGAGAATCGATCAATGTTACTTAGGACCTAATGCAATGTTCAGCTTGATTTCTGATAAATTTATCAATAATTTCGTTTGGGATCACCATGGTAGGATATTGATATTGATGTAGGATGTGAGTGGCCCCCTACATTTGACTACCGTCAGAAGCGGCTTGCAACGGATAAATGCTACAATGTTTTACATAAAAATAATGTTGTAATGAATTCAACACAGACAAACAGACATAACACATTGAATATTTCTCACTGTAAAACATCGTCACTAAAACATTACCGCCATCTGTTGAGTACACTGTGGTGGGTAGTACGCTGAACAGCTGGCGGTAGTGTGTAAACGTCAACGCAAGGGAATTGACTATGCGCGCCACAGGTGGCGGTACTACCAACTGCGATATCTTTAAATTGACCGTTAAATGCTTGTTCGATGAAAAACTTGCGTGTTTTATGTCTGTTTGTCTGTGAACTCAATATTCTTTTGGAATTTTGGAACTCACTCCCCACAAACAATTTTAGCTGCATAACAATTCTCGATGAACATTTCAAATGGTCCTATCTGCTTTGATCGATTCTCTTCATCGACTTTCTCTTTCGTCAATAACTCAGCTGCAAAACCTTTCCCTGTTGTATTTGACGTTTTGGACGCTAGATAAGAACCTCCTTTATCAAACTATGAGGTAGAATTAGCGCGAAATCTGTTTGCATAGCAGTGGTTATGAAAAGAGAAAGTCGATGAAGAGAATCGATCAAAGCAGATAGGACCATTTGAAATGTTCATCGAGAATTCTTTTTTAATTCCCTTCCACAGAATATTTTTGATAATTCTCATCTGGATTTTCTTGGAATTCTCCTCAGAATACGTATGCAAATATCCTTAGAATCTGATTCCCATGAAATTCGTCTAGAAATTTCCTTGGAAGTTTTCCCCTTCCCTTGGCTAGTTTTTGCACCTTGCTGTTGATGGGCTTTATAGTGGAGTGTTGGAGACGGTAGGTTTATGGCCGGCGTTGCTGGGATAGAATGGCATCATGGGCAGGCAATGGGGATTACTAAGCTTTCCCTCTCTGATAAACCACTGCATGAGAGAATCAAAGATCTAGTCTAGCAGTGATAGTATCAAACTTGTTGATCCTTTGATTGAGAGCCGCGTCGTAGTACGCTTACGTATAGGCACTGACGTTGGGTGTAATACTGGCGGGTTTTGCCGCAAATCACTCTTATTTTATTTATTTTTACGCAGATACATTTATTTGGGTTTGCAAGGGAATTATACTATTGAAATATTTCATGAAGTGCCCAACGGTGCTCCTTATATTTGCGTGACAAGCTTCCATTGTTGTTTTCATTGACGTATTACTTAGGAAACAATGTTAAATATCATTTTTGTACATGGTATTGTAACTAATCTTATATGTACTTCATTTTGATTTGGGATAAGTGTTTGAACCACAAACGAAGTGACAGACGACTAACTGGCGAAGAAATCAATTAAAATAATGTGGTTCGCTGTAATAGAATTTTCTTAGAAGCTTGTGCCATCAACCACCAGATGGGTTAGTTTTTTTGTTTTTATTTGAACAAAGTTGTTTTTGTGTACAATGATTCTTTGACAGTGTGCAAAGAGTGTATCATATTGTCATTTTTTTATGCTTTTCAGTTTTGAGTACAGTGAAAGAGATAGAACCAAAACATTCTATATAGTATATTTGATGAAAATGATAGTACAATCCAGTAGTAGTGTTGCCATATGGTACAATCCAGTAGTAGTGGTGTTGCCATGTGGCACACTGAAAAATTGCAATAGCAGGTTATTCACCAAAGTTTTCGAGCCGCTCCGTCTGTCACTTCGTTTGTGGTTTGAACTATGGCTCGGGATTTCCACTGTGGCGTGCTTCTATTGTGATATATCCATACGTATTTTTGTGGTGCGACATAGTGGAAGCGTGTGAGCATAGTTGGAGCATATACCCTATATAATTTAAAAATCAGCTAAGAAACTAACTTCAAAATGAAGCATTTTAGTCACATGAAGGTGTTACCTGGGTCGAACTAAGATATAAATAATAGGTATAGGCCAAAATCAAAAGTACTTGAAACACGTTTAATTTTAGATTACAAGCACAAGTGCAGGTACTAAATAAAGCATGGGTTATGATTGATTAGGTGAATTAGAGCTTTTAATAATTTCTTAAATTAGACTAATGAGATATCATAATCATCAAATGAACTTAAATAAAAAACTTCAGAAAGTCTAATGACATTAAGTAGATTATCAAAAGAATTAGGATGCGGGGGGGGGGGGGTCCGCTTAGGAAGGCAACTAACCTTTAAAGTTGTAGAATAAATTTTCCTATTTAGTCTTGAACTTCAATAAGAAAACGCAAGCAGACCAATAGCATTAATCAGATTAACAAGGAGAGGAATAGTTTGGGAAATAAGTAAAAGTAGAGGTATGTGACAATTAATAACTTTTAAACTTTTGGAGGTATTGTTTCCCCCTGAGTTTGTTGAACTCGATTACTATATTATTCTCTCAATACGCGAAATCTCTTATATATGCGGTTAAAGCATTTGAGTTAACTTATTTCTTAGTGTTCATGTACTTACATTTGTAAACAGCAGTCAATGTTAATCTATGAACTAAACCCTACGTAAAATCGATCTTTCCTTATTTGGTATTGATGCATGTTTAACTTCTCGCGGCTGTCGGAACTAACGTGCCTACGTCTACGCTTATGCAGGAGTGATTCAAAATGCGGTAGAGCTCACCAATAGTTTTTTTGAATTTCTGTAGTATAGAATTTGTTCGGTACGGTCGCGAAATCTTGAAATGATTGATACGTGCGGTAAAATAACTAAATTGAAACAATGCTCAACAGTAAAATAAGTAGAATATTTAGGAAGGAAACCAAAATTAATCAACTTGCCAACATAAGCTATAATATTCATTTTGGTGGCACTCTTTAAATGATTATAAAGACTGGACTCGGAAAAAATGAGACACACAAAAATGATCATCAAAAATTTATTTTAAATCGGATACTTCTCAAATTTTCAGGGATTAAATAACTATATATTAGCTATGTTTTGGCATAATTTATTTATTGAATTTCCTCCCCCAAGCTGAATGCTCGTACATTTCTCTTAACACTGCTCATGAGATCTTGGGCGAGGCTTTGCCCATCTTCCTTACACAATTTCTCCCAGTTTTTCTTCAAAGCTTCATCGGTTTTGAATGTTTTTCCGCTTTTCTTCAACTTCTTCTTCAGTGTCGCTCAAAACTTTTCGATCGGACGAAGTTCTGGTGTATTTGGCGGGTTCGCCTCCTTCGGGACCACATTAACGCCCTTCGCTTCGTACCAATCCATTACAGGCTTGGCGTAATGGCACGAAGCGAGATCCGGCCAGAACAGCGTGGGACCACAGTAAGAGCGGAGGAAGGGCAGCAAGCGCTTCTGCAAGCATTCCTCTCGATAAATCTGCCGGTTTATGGTGACGGTTGTAACGAACAGCTTGCTGTACCGTCCGCACTTGCAGATCGCCTGCCA